ACACTAAAATAAGTCTGTCTGTCTGTCTATTTGTTCCGGTTAATCTCTGAAATGGCTGGACCGATTTAGACGACTTTTTTTGGCGGCTATTTGATGTAATAAGAAGTAACTTAGGCTACTTTTATTTTAGAAAAATAAAGTTATATTCCACGCGGACGAAGTCGCGGGAATGGCTAGTTTAATATATATTGAATAGTCCAATCATTAGTAACGGTTAAACATAATATTTAATATAGGTATTGTACTTAGTATATTATCTAAACGTCAATTAAAGTTTAGATAAAGATAAATCAAATCAACATATATTCTTTTATGTAGATCTGTTGCAGACTCTTATGAAATGTTAAAACTAACGTCAGGTCGAAGTGCTTTTGAATTGAAAACTTACAGGAAAAAAGAACATACAGGAAACTCAGCTCTTAGTCTTTTAAAATAGCTAATCGCGAGTAAAGTCGAAAGATAGTAAAATTATATAAAAACTAGCTGACCCAGTAAACATTTTGTCAGATAAATTAATATCGCTATTACAAAATATGGGTTGGTATTTGTGATTGTTGTGCCATATCTTAAAAATAAAAAACAAAAAAATATAGGGGTCGAGCACACTAATAACTAAGGGGTACAAATAACAAAAACAACCTATTCTGAGACCTTCCGAGTATACATATAAAATTTCATCAAAATAAAATCACTGCATAGTATAAAACAAAGTCGCTATCTGTCCGTCCATATGTAGACTTAAATCTTTAAAACTACGCAACGGATTTTGAAGCAGTACTTTTTAACAGATAGAGTGATGTGAGTGATTAGCAATAGAGTGATTCAAGAGGAAGGTTTATATGTATACATGTATCATTACATAGTATAAAAAAAAGTCGCTGTCGCTGTCTGTCCGTCCCTATGTATGCTTAAATCTTTAAAACGACGCAACGGATTTTGAAGCAGTTCTTTTTAACAGATAGAGTAATTCAAGAGGAAGGTTTATATGTATAATATATGTACACCCGTGCGAAGCCGGGGTGAGTAGCTAAAATTCTCGTATCACAGAACACTGTAACCGAGAATTTTATACATATAAACATTTTAATTAAACACGCTTACTAAATCGTCTAGAAATTAATATGTCTCGTATTATAAATGCAGATAGTATGCTCAGTGGTTACGTCGTGATAATATATTATATTAATGTCCAAGATAAAGGTATCGGATGCTGTAACCCATGGAAATTGACTGTCATTATTTGCTTCTATGCTACACAATATCAGCGATATTGCTACAATAGTATGCTTCCATTGAATAATACAGCTTTATTGTAAGACCTACATTGTAATGAAAACTATGTATAAATCATACTTAAATTGTTGAGATAAATAAAAACGATGATATTTTCAAATTTCGCTAATAATATTTTTAGACATAAAACAACTGAATGCGTAGCTCATTCGAAATTAAAGTTGTATTTATTAAAAATATATATTTAGGGGTGGTTACCCTTCTTATCTGTATGTCGATTATCGATATATCGATATCGATAATCGACCCATTAAGGGTATGAATAATAAATGTTAGACGATTCTGATACGTAATCGACATGCACACAAAATTTCATAAAAATCGGTAAAGCCGTTTCGGAGGAGTTTGGTAACAAACACCTCGCGGTGTTTTATATATTAATTTATATTCAACAACGGTTTTACAATGTTTCTAAATAATCTATCTTGCTTATATTATCTCGACAGCCTTAGTGGTCTAGCGGTAGCATACCGCCTTACTTTCGATGATCGCAGGGTGGAGTCCTCGCACGGAACAAACATTTGTACTCATGAATATGATTTTTTCTTTCGATCTGGATACTTTTATTTTTTATAACACGTAGGTGGCAAACAAGCATACGGCCCATCCGATGGTAAACGGTTACCGTAGCCTATGGACGCCTGAAACACCAGGGATGTCACATGCAAGTTGCTGATCCTTACGAAACCTAAATCCCAATATTAAAAACCCCATGCTGTAGTCTCTCGAGAAAACCTCGGCAGGTAGTTCATACTTTCAATTAATATTATATATGTGCTTATAAAAATATGTATCAATGTATTTATATCAGTTATCTAGTACACATACCACAAGCTCTGCTTAGCTTGGGACTAGATGGCGCTGTGTGAATTGTCCTGAAATATTCTTATTACACTCGTGTTTCAGTATTCATTATAACAGTTACCTCTAATAGACCGTAACCTTGTTTTCCCATACTAGTCACACAAAAAGTATATAAACGACTTCTAGTGTTTAGTCTATAGATTATTTCATAGACTATTTTAAAATGATTATCATTTGGCATAGATAAAGTAAGCAGTTTCGCAAACAGAGACGTGACGTGACGAAATACTGCGCAAGTCAAACTTGCGAATGCCAGTTTTTTTAAACAATATCTGAGGGAAGCATAACAACACTTCGTAACATGCCAGCACAGATATATGGACAGACATACAGATGGAGATATATGACGCAAATACCTCAATCTATAGTCTATTGTTGCTTATTTAAAACTAGTTAACCGGCCCGGCTTCGCACAGTAGAATGATTCAAGAGGGAGGTTTATATGTATAATACTACATTCAAGAGGAAGGTTTATATCTACAACTAGCTACTCGCCCCGACTTCGCCCGAGTGTACATGTATTATACATATAAACCTTCCTCTTGAATCACTCTGTCTATTAAAAAAACCGCTTCGAAATCCGTTGCGTAGTTTTAAAATATTTAAGCATCAGCAGCGACTTTGTTGTATACTATGCAATGATACATGTATACATATAAACCTTCCTCTTGAATCACTCTAACTATTGCTAGAATGCATTAAATTCCATATTAAATTTTTGTATTTTGTCTGTTTTTGTATCTACATATTTCATGAAATTACACTGCACAATTTTATACTTCATATAATGCAACCTTTTAAATTTCGACTAAAGTTGCTTTTGATGTTGTCTCTTTTTCTCGACCACTTTATATGTAGTGACGAACTACATATAAAGTGGTCGAGAGATAAAAAGAGATCCTCGCACAGCACAAACATTTGTATTCATGAGTATATGTATTTGTATCAGTCTGGGTGTTTTCTATGTATATTATGTAAGTATTTATAAAAAAAAATTAAGTATTTATATCAGTAGTCTAGTACCCATAACACAAGCTCTGCTTACCGTGGGACTAGATGGCGCTGTGTTAATAGTCCAGGATTATTTATTTATTATTAATATTATTACCCATCGAAATAGTACTTACTCTACAATTATATTCATTTATATTATAATGAATATCTTGTAAAATGCAAAAAGAATGGTATTACATATTTTTCCGATCATGTGATCGAACGATTTCATAATATCGCTCACGAGTCAACAAACCGCATTCGCATGTCTAAATCACCCTTTATTATTTATTTATTTTTTTGATCCACACGTGCTATTGACAATATCATCGAAGCAACCACATGTTTAAGTTTAATTTGGCCACCGGCCAGCATTACAGGCAATTGGGTCGCCCGCGACACTTTCTGTGATGTTAAAATAGAATGCGAAAGTTCATGGTATATTTACTAGTTCCAAATTAATGTACATGTCTATTTCGAAACCGCGTGTTTGGAACTGCACTCGTTTATTTGCTACTTCAAATGATAACTGGAACACATTACGGTATTAATCCAACAATTGTAACTGAAGCGGGAATATTACAAATATTGAAAAAATTAGTATCAAAGACAATTTAGCCGATATAGTGAAAGAAAGAAAGAAAGAAATACGCAAATCAGGATCCATAGTGCTCTTATAATAATATTATGTCAACCTTTATTGTAACACTATGGAATGCAAATGAATAAATAAATAAATAAAAACTGATAACTGGAACATACGAGTATTACGTTATAATGCAACAATTGTAATTGGAGCGGGAATATTACAACTTTTGAAAAAATCTGTGACAAAGACAATTTAGCCGTTATGTTGAAAGAAAGAAAGAAATAAATAAATAAAAACTGATAACTGGAACATACGAGTATTGCGTTATTAATGCAACAATTGTAAATAGAGCAGGAATATTACAACTATTTAAAAAATCAGTATCAAAGACAATTTAGCCGCTATGTTGAAAGAAAGAAATAAAAAAAACTGATAACTGCAACATACGAGTACTACGTTGTTAATCCAACGATTGTAACTGGAGCGGGAATATTACAACTATTGGAAAAATCAGCGATAAAGACAATTATATTAGCCGCTATGTTGAAAGAAAGAAAGAAAAACATTTATTGATAACCATTTTAATACATGTTTCTTTTATTTTTTTTTCTGGGTATTCAGTTTCAGGTTTATAGATACATGTTGGGGCCGCTATTATTTATGTATATTGTGTTCTTTATAGCAGCAGCACCAAAAAGAGGGAGGTGAAAAATAATGAGACCATGTTGTGGCTATGTACATATTTTTAATAACGAAGTATTTACAATAGATATATATAAAAATAAGCGATCCGGTCTCAAATGACAGGCTTGTTATTTTATTGTTCACTCGTCACTAGGCAACGGTGTTGCCGCGCGATAATAATAAATTCGCCACAACAACTATAAGAGAAAATATATTGAGGACTAGCTGTACTCGTCCGTGTGGAATTTACCAAAAAATTTGATTAGAGATTTTTTCTAAAATAAAAGTAGCCTAGGTTACTCCTTATTACATCAGCTACCTGCCAGTAAAAGTCCCGTCAAAATCGGTCCAGCTATTTCAGAGATTAGCTGAGATAAACAGATAGACAGACAGAAAGACAAAAATTATAAAAAAAATTATTTTGGTATATGTACCGTATTTATATTCATATGCGTGTAGTAAAAAACGGTTACTTCAATATTACAAATAGACACTCCAATTTCATTTGTATTTTATATGTGTAGATTTCTATATTATAACTTGAAATAAGTATATAATTATTATTGTAACAACTTACATGAATCTACAATCTCCAAACTGGTGTTTATTAACGTCTGTAATATGAACACTGTCACCAGCACACACAAATGCCGATCTCTCGCCATTTTCAACACAACCACATTCACTGGACATTCGGACAATTGGACACCTCACCACGTGACAATCACTTTCATCTTCTAGAACAATCCATGGCTTCGAAGTCATTGATATCGGTTTCTGTACCCGCTTTTCAGATTTTCCAACTATATTCTAAGCTCTTGTTGGGCGACGTATAAAAATCTATTTATGTTTACCACTCATATTCATTGGACCCGCTCCAAGTATTTTCCAAGTGAAAATCCCTTGGACAACCGGAACTCGCAATCTGCAAAGAGATAATATTATTTTTAATAATGTAAACACCTCTATTCCTTCGTTTACGAATCACTCTGTAAATAATCCGTGTTTATTAAGGATGGCGGTTAAATTAAAACATGGATGAATCTTTTTTCTTCGTCCTCGCTCAAGATTTATATAATCTACGGAAAATATAATTTCGCTTCGCTAAAGACTTCCGCTTTGTTTATGTTTGAAATGACATTTTTTAAGTGTATATAAAAAAATCTTTTGATCCCACTGGGACGTCTATTTCTGTTGTGAGGTTTGCTATAATGGTTATTTACATAGTATATCATTTATTTATAGGTTTATACCGCCTACGCTGAGGAGGAATGGGATTGTCAGTAATAAAAAATATTAAATAAACAGAATGTGAAATTCAGCTGCCCCATAAATTTCTCTACGGGGTTAAATCGAATGTAATTAAAAATCATTTATTCATATAGACTTTTAGGCTGCTTATGAACTTCTAGTTTTTTTTATTAATATTTCTTCTCTACCACCCGCTTTAGTTGGGATACAGATTGGGAGAGAGTTGAGCAGAATTGGCTAGAAACTCAAACGAATTCCTTATTTTTAAGCCAGTTTATTTACACTGTATACTTATATAAGTGTCTATGTCTAACATTAAATGAAAATGCTGTCCATGAACAACTATTGCCATACACGTTTGTCATTTAAGTAGATAATCGTTTAGTGAATAATAGTCTTTGTTAAATAAATCTTATTTAACAGATGTTTTATGATGTTAGCCATGTGTATGGCTATGGTTAGTCATTTAACTAGGAAACCGTTTAGTGAATATAGTCTTTATTAAATAAATATTATTTAACAGATGTTTTAAATTTCTTTACAGGTAATTACAGTATATTCTTCCAGAATATAACGGTCGGATATCGTTTGTACTTACCCTGATATTCTACTGTCGAAGCTGTAAATATAACCTGTTAGCTTAATTTTAATGATGTTTCATTAAAATTACGAGAGAATTTGGATATTCGAGGTTATCTCCTGTACTGCTTATAATTTTCAAAATTCTTTTAGCATACAGCTCATTTATGGAATAAAGGCTTTATACATCACCATGTCGTAACCTATAGCAGCAGAGCTGCAATGAAAAATGTTGCAAAAACGGCCGAATAAGGGCTATATACATCACCATGTCATAACCTATAGCAGCGGAGCTGCAATGAAAAATGTTGCAAAAACGGCAAAAACGAATTAAACTGTGCCTACACTTGTAATATATAACTAACTTGTGCCTACACTTATAATATATAACTTTGATTTAACTCTAGTGTAAGTCAGCCCACGTTACGACTCCGCGTCGAATGTACGCGTTACTAATAAGCCATATGGCACACTATTAAATAAACTCGCTAATATATAATATAAATACTATATTTATTTTACAAAAGAGAGCCATACGTTCTATTTATGGTATGGGTTCTAGAGAGTCATTACGTCAATGCTTTAAACAATCAAATATCCTCACCGTTGCCTCACAGTACATTTATGAAAATATTATGTATACAAGGAAAAACTTAGATAGTTTCAAGAAACTTAAAGACTGTACAAGTAGAAACTTACGCAATAAAAATAAGCTAATTTTACCTAAATGCCGTCTACACAAAGTTAGTAATTCATTTTATGGTAATTGCGTAAGATTCTATAATAAACTGCCAGAGTCTACGCTAAATCTTACAGAGAGGCAATTCAAATCTTATATTAAACAAATGTTATGTAAAAAAGCCTATTATAAGATAGATGAATTTATAGATGATAGCAATATATAGCAAGAATAAGTTTATTTGCGGACAACGTTATAATTTTAATTTTCATACTGCTTTCTTGATATATGATAGCGTAGCGGCTTTTGTATTGATTGCCGCATGCATCCTTATGTAAAGTGCGAATACTGTAACTACCATATAGTAATTTTTGTAGCTGTGACGTGGTCGTGTGGAATGAGTAGTCATGCTCACTAAAATGTCCAGACATGTGGCGGCGTGGTGGGCCGGGTCAATGGGCTCCCTAAAATATGGTCGAGCGCAGTGATGGCTGGCTCATCCGTCATACTCGTGAACGAGTGCTGCTTGTAGGGACTGGTCTGCTCTTATCACTACGACTGATTTAATCTTATTGCATGATTATATTTGACCCAAAAAATTAGTGCTTGTTGGTAGTTTGTATTCACACGTTTCGACTTGTAAATGTAAACTTACAAGGATTATTTAAAAGAGCAACACACAAGTTTCTTGCTCGTTCTTCTTGTGATGAGACAGCTTTCCGAACGAGTGGTAGATAAAAAACAAATTGTTATGACTATTCAAAAGTGCTTAAATTAAGTTTATTTGAATAAATGATTTTCTATTCTATTCTATTCTATTCTATAATAAATAGTACAATTATTACACCTCTATATACTCCTAGATACTACAAGAAACAAATATATTAAGTAGAGTCATGTCATCGTATACTGTAGAATGAAAATAAACAGTAATAGAGCAATCTATACATATAAATAAAATTCCAGTGCCTGTTTGTAATATTGAAATTACCGTTTTTTACTACATGCATATGAATATAAATACGGTACATACACCAAACTAATATTTTTAACAATTTTTGTCTGTCTGTCTGTTTGTTCCTACTAATCTCTGAAATGTCTGGACCGATTTTGATCGGACTTTTATTGGTAGATAGCTGATGTAATAAGCAGTAACGTAGGCTACTTTTATTTTAGAAAAATAAAGTTAAATTCCAAGCGGACGTAGTCGCGGGAACAGCTAGAAAGTATAATAAGCGAGAAGGGAAGTGGTAGAAGAGGGAGAGAGCCTGCTACCACCATACTAGATCCTCTCTTCGCTAGTTTAAGCTCGTCCACGGCATGTTTACTATGAGATCTGTGTATCTGTGCCCTTTTATTCACTAGATAGTGACTCCATTGTGCAAAAATATCTTATTCATGGCATAGTGTATATATTGTGTTAATTAAATAAATAAATAAATAAATAAATAATGGCAATCCGTCTATAGATAAAGAATTATGATTATTGTTAGCTTACGCATTCTACACACCAGAGAGATCTACACTCTCTAATAAACTCGCTAATCTATAATAAATAGTACAATTATTACACCACTGTATACTCAATAGTAAAGTAATAGAGCAATAGTAAGTAAAAAAAGTATAATAAGCGAGAAGGGAAGTAGTAGAAACGAGAGAGGGCCTGCTACCATCATACTAGATCCTCTCTTTGCTGTGCCCTTTTATCCACTGGATAGTGACTCGATTGTGCAAAGATATCTTATCCATGGCTTAGTAGCAATCCGTCTATAGAAAAATTATTATTATTGAGCGGTAGATTAAAAGAATGATAACCATGACTATTCAAAAATGCTTAAAATAAGTTTATTTAAATAAATAATTTTCTATTCTATTCTATTGTTAGCTGCCATACCAGATCCTCTCTTCGCTAGCTCGGCCGCGGCACCGTTACTATGTGATATTGATATTGATGATCTGTGATGATGATGATCTGTGACATTTTATCTACTGGTTAGTGACTCCATTGTGCAAAGATATCTTATCCATGGCATAGTGACAATCCGTCTATAGAAAAATAATAAGTATTTAGCAGTAGATTAAAAGAATGATAACTATGACTATTCAAAAATGCTTAAAATAAGTTTATTTGAATAAATAATTTTCTATTCTATTCTATTGTTAGCTGCCATACTAGATCCTCTCTTTGCTAGCTCGGCTGCGGCATTGTTACTATGTGATATTGATGATCTGTGATGATGATTTGGGATATTTTATCCACTGGTTAGTGACTCGATTATGCAAAGATATGCCATGGTATAGTGGCAATCTGTATATAGATAAAGAATTATGATTATTGTTGGCTTACGCATTCTACACGCCAGAGAGATCTACACGAGCGCGTCATTCTTCCGTTCATCTAATAATAATCTCGCTCCCCCGCGGATGTGCTTCCTTTCCCTTGAAAATGTTAATTAACTAATTCAATTAACGTTTCAAACGACAAATGAAACTGTGACCGTTAACTAACTCCAATTGGTTATAATTTTAATATTTTTGTTGAACCCGGCGGCAAAGTTTAATTATGTAGAAGTGTTAATGTATACTGATAATTATTAATTGATAATAGTTTCTTATTTATATTTAAATAATAGCACCTGTAGTATAGCGGTTTAGCACACCGCTTTTGTTCCGTTGGTCGCGGGTACGATTTCCCGCACGGTGCAAACATTTGTATTCATGAGTATGATTGTTTGTTTCTGTGTGATTGTATGATTGATTGTATGCTAGTGGTCTCTTTATTTTCTCAAAACTGAATTAATATGAATGTATATTATTGTAAACATTTGAAAAGAATACGAGCTTCTTGTCAGTTCTTCTCTCCTCGAAATCATTCCGAACTGACCGTAGATTTGACATATCATAAGAGTCTAATAGACTTACATGAATAAAGATATATTGAATTTGTGTTTGTATTTATAAAAAATACCATAAATTCTAATAACCATAACAGATCTACTTAGTTTGAAACTACATCGCGTTGTATAAATTGTTCAGGGTAATTATTATTATTATTCTTGTAATGATAACGAAAAACTGTATCAAAATTCATTACATAGTACAGAGGAAGTAAGGGAGTCAGAAGAATAATTTCATATAAATAATGCAATGCTTTTAGTTATAAGTCAGATGGCGAGATCTATGTATTATTTATTTATTGCTCTGCACATATAAAAATAGTATGACAGACTTGACCTGATGGCTTCTCTGCCAGTCGACCATAATGCTGATTAGGGCAGTACATTTTACTAATATGCAATAAAATGTATAATATATATAATCACCTCGGTGGTCTAGCGGTCTAGCACACCGCTTTACGTCCGATGGTCGCGGGTTCGATTCCTCGCACGGCACAAACATTTGTATTCATGAGTATG